TCAAAGCTTGGCCATGCTCCCAGTGTTTTACCATATCAACTCAACACACCAGTATCCCAGGAAAGTCAAGTTATTTGTTGAAGTGTCCTTTGACCAAACTACATGATTCCAATAAATGCATTTAAAACAACATGCGCTAAACTGTGACTATTCATCTGCAAAGAAAAAAAAGGAAAATAAACTGTAGAATAAGAAAAGACACTATAATCAAGATCTGCATGAGTGCTTCTGCTTAGCTCTTATACCTTGTAACTATATAGTCATGTTTCTTCCTACATAACTGGAACTATACCATTAAAATGATCACAGCCATTCTTCTAAGCTTTCACAGTATCAGTGCATAAAAAAGACAAATAGAAAAATGATCGTTAACTGCCAAATAGAGACGGTCTGTAAAGAGACAAACTCCCACAAACTTCGGATTGAGTTTTAAAACAAAGTTCTTAATTTAATTTTTGAAAGAGCAGCAGTAAAAATGAAGGGCATGACCATAAAACCATTGCAAGAGAGTTCAATGGCCTTGAGGTAAAGTTGTAGCTTACCCCAAAGAGCCGTCAGCATTTTACTCACTGCTAGTGAACTCCATAAACACCCATTCATGCAGTTTATAGCCCAGTCCATCGTAGCCTGTTGAACTCATCATCTTCAGGAGTAATTGCTCTCTTGTGTCGTCACATGACGAATAAGAAGGTGGTGAGGGGTGCAGAGGATATAAAAAGGAACAGTCTTACTCGCAGCAATTTGTTTTCCCTCAGCTTACCTCAGCATCTCTGCTTCTCAAGCCACCAACACCACCAGAATGGCCTTCGCTGGAAGATGGGAAACCGAGACCCAGGAGGGATACGATGAGTTCTGCAAGCTGATTGGTGAGAACAGAGACTTGATCTGGAAGCATTTTTTGGCAAACATGTTCTGGAGAGAAATTTCTACAACCTCGCAATCTCCACTTTAGGTATCCCTGATGACATCATCGAGAAGGGTCGTGACTACAAGCTCATCACAGAGATCACCCAGGATGGAGATGAATTTTCCTGGACTCAGGTCTACCCCACTGACGCCAAGGTCACCAACAAGTTCACAATTGGAAAAGAGTGTGACATGCAGACCATTGGTGGGAAGAAATTTAAGGTGGGATAAAAGTGTCATGTGCTAACCAGTAACCTCGTTTGAACGTTGGGTTCTCCAGCTTCTAATGTTATGCACATGTCTTACAGGCCACAGTAAACACAGAGGGAGCTAAGCTGGTAGCAAACTTCCCCAACTACAAGCAAGTCAGTGAGATCAGTGGGGGCAAACTCATCGAGGTAACCACCCTCCCTTAGAGCACTGATCTGATGTGACTCAGAGGTCTTTTTACATAGTAATTTTGTTTTCTGTCATTTCGAAATTTTTACAGACTAATTTTCAAGTTTTTGAAAAGGACTAACTATACAGTTTGAAGACTAAAATGAGAATATGTTCACTGTCCTAATTAAGAAATTAAATTTGATATCTAGGTCATTGTTGAATAAATGTATACCTTTAATCATTGAAAGGTCTATTAAACAGTAATTATACAAACATTAATTGGAGTATAAGAAATAAATGTAATAATATATTTACTGCTTTATTGATGTGTGCCATTTCTTGTTGTAGACCTCCACATGTGGCTCTGTAGTGCTGAGGAGAACCAGCAAGAAGCTCTAACTACCAACTGACCTTTGACCTCCTGTTCAGTTACAACAACAATCTCTACATTACAGCATAAATAATACATAAATAAAGTGAAATTTTCACCAGTACAAACAAGTGTTTTGTCTTTTATTTCCAGATGATTGTTGGTGGCTTTGAATACACAGCAAAAAAAAAAAAAAAAACATTTAGGGGTAGATAGTCGGGAAAAGATGATTAGTTTAAAGCAACAACTTAGGGACTGGTTGATTTGACTAAATTTAACACTTATTGCGAGTTTTGTCCTTCACAACACATCATATCAAAATGGAAAGATGCTCTGTAAATGACAGGTGTGGAAATTTACATAGCAACATACTTTGTACATAACACACAAGCAGCTGATGGCAATGTCAAAAGGTGTTCAGTATACGGATGCAGTTCCCTCATTGGGGTCTTTGACCATCAGTGGCACAGTTTCTGCCCTAGCATTTTTGTCACCAGCATTGGTAGCAATCATTGTTCACCTGAACCTTGATTGATCTTGTATGGTGTTGCTTGGATAAATGCATATGTTTGTTTTGGCACAAGTATTTTACATGAGATGCCCTTCTTGATACAACCCTCACCATTTACCCTGGCTTGGGACAAGAGTCAGAGTCAGAGATTCTTTATTGTCATTCGCACCTCATGTGGTACATGTGGTGGAGCGAAATTATGTACACAGGGTCCCAGTTACATCCAACAATAAAATGTATAAGAAAAACAGTAATAACATCTAAGATATGAACTAAGAAAAACATCAACTAAATATACACTAAGCACTCATAACATAAAAACATTGAACATCAGCACAAACATGAACATGAGTCTGTGAGCAGATGTGCACGCATGGACACATCAACATTGAAACAGATCAGCAGCAACATGAAACAGATCAGCAGCAACATGATGTGGTTTTTCACAGTGATTATTCTGGTTAGAGATTCATGAGTCTAACAGCCTCAGGGTAGAAGCTGTTCCTCAGTCTAGACAGAGACAGACTGGCTTGTGCTGCCAAGTGACTCAATTTCCCTGAAGCTGATTGTTCTGGGTATAACAGCAGCAAATTTGCACAACGTGCAGGGGATTTTCTTTACCATGACAATTTTCATGTAAATTACAGATTTTCCAAACTTGTATTCCCTGACCTAACCATGAAAGGATAACTTGAAATCCTATGTATTTCATCAATCAACTACAAAGGTATTTGATAGCATATGCTTTACTTTTTAGATTTGATTGGTTATTTTGCTAAATCTACAGTATATATTTACAACAGTGACTTGGACATATACATTTTGGTTATCTGCTGTTTTTTCTAAAGTTATCATATAAAGTGTTTCAAAGGCTCATGGCCCCAGAGTTACTCTGGCTGATCATTATGACACTGAAGAGTGGAAAGGTGGTTGATCCAGATGATGTTCTATACTCTATAATGCTCTATAATGGAGATGAGGAGATGTCCAGTAGAGGATTAAGTGGACTTTTTAACCATCCATCCACTCATTATCTTTTACCCACTTTTTTGTTTTCGAGTCATGGGGGTCACTGGTGCCCATATCCAGCAGCTACTGTGAGGGGTACACCCTGAACAGGTCTCAAGTCCATCACAAACAATGATTCACACTCACACCTAGGGACACTTGAGAGTTACCAGTTAGCCTAGTATGCATGTTTTTGGTCTGTGAGAGGAAACCAGCGTACCCAGAGAAAACCCATATATGCACAGAGTGAACATGCAAACTCCACCCAGAGTGGCTCCCGACCGCTATTCTATCCACCGACCCTCTCGCTGAGAAGTGACAGCACCAAAAACTGTGCCACCATGCTGCCTGACTTTTTAACCAAACTGTCTAATGAATCATGGACAGTGAGGGAATGCCTAAGGAACAGGAGAAGTACACTGGTACATTTTTTTTTTCAAAAACAAAAGAGATGTGCAAACATGTAGAAACTACAAAGGATAAGGATGTGAAAACTCAGAAAAGAGTCAATGAAGGAATGCAAAAAAGTGGGGTATTGATCAATGTTCCGCAGTGATGTCTCACCCAGGGAAAGAGCACTATAGATGTCATGTTTCTTTCAAAATTGTTGATAGAGACATATAGAGAAGGTCAGAAGGAACTGCACTATCCTAATAAAATGTACTGTATATGCCTACTTTTTATGAGTTTCAGTTGTGAGATCGGATCATCACCCTGTCATAAAATTCACATCAGTTTCAAATTTTTAAAATGAACGGACATTGTTTCACATTCATTCAAGGTCAAAGTCAAGGTCAAGGTGTCTTTATTGTCATTCACACCACATGTGATATATGTGGTGGAATGAAACTATGTACACAGAGTCCCAGTTACATCCAACAAAAATACAAATTGTAAAGAAAAACAGTAGTAAGATCCAAGACATGAACCAAGATATATGCTAAACTAAGAATACACTAAGTACTAGTAGTACAAAACAATGTGCCAAACAATGGCAGCACGAACATGAGTCTGTGTGAGCAGATGAGGACGAATGAACACAGCAGCATGAAATAAATCAGCAGCATGAGATCAGCATCATGGATAGTCAGTAGCACATATCAACAACCAAGTTGCATTACAGTGATTTTTTAACAGTGATTATTTTTTTCACAGTGATTTTCACAGTGATAATCTGACTAGGGATTCATGAGTCTAACTGTCTCCGGGTAGAAGCTGTTCATAAGCCTAGTGGTTCTGCACTTAATGCTCCTTAAACTTCTGCCTGAGGGGAGCGGGGCAAAAAGTGTGAGTGCTGGGTCCTTCATGATGCAGATGGCCCTCTTCCAGCATCTCGAGGTGTAGATGTCTGTGATGGTGGGGAGGCTGACTCCAATGGTCTTCTGTGCATCCTTCACCATTCTCTGCAAATCTTTTCTTTCTGCAGCTGTGCAGCCTCCATGCCACACATTGATGCTGGAGCACAGGATGCTCTCCACTGCACACCTGTAGAAGGAGGTGAGGGCTGAGCTTCCCAGACCAGCTCGCCTCAGCCACCTGATGAAGTAGAGTCTCTGATGAGCTTTCTTGATCAAGCTGTTGTTGCCCCAACTGAGATTGTCATTCAGGTGCACAACCAAGTATTTGTAGCTGGAGACCACTTCCACCATAGATCCTCCTATGTTTGGGGCTAGGGGGTGGGGGTGGGGGGTTTGCTCCTTCTGAAATCCACAATTATCTCCTTCGTCTTCTTCACATTGCTGTGGAGGTTGTTCTTCCTGCACCAGCTCTTCAGGTGCTCCATCTCTTGTCTGGAGCTGGACTCATCGTTTTATGTGATCCAACCACCACTGTATCGTCTGCAAACTTTACAATATGACATCCTGGATGGGTAGGTGCGCAGTCATATGTGAGCAGAGTGAACAGGAGGGGGGCTCAACACACAGCCCTGAGGGGACCCAGTGCTGAGGGTTATGGTGGAGGAGAAGTTGTGAATCCTCATAGACTACAGTCTGTTTGTTAAGAAGTCCAGGTCGTATAGGGAGGGGCTTAGTCCTAGTGTGAGTAGTTTGTCCATCAAGGTCTGGGGAATTATGGTGTTGAAGGCAGATGTGAAGTCCACAAAGAGCATACGCACATAGGAGTCCTTCTGCTCCAGGTGGGTGAGAGCTTTGTGAACCACAGGAGATGGTGTCCTCTGTTGATTGATTCTTGCAGTATGCGTATTGGTGTGGGTTCTCCCTGGCTGATGTCGATGGTAGGTTTGATGTGGGCCATGACCAGTCTTTCAAAGCATTAGTGACTATTGGGGTGAGGACTACTGCCAGTAGTCATTCAGACCAGTCACTGCAGAGTTCTTAGGAACTGGGATGATGGTGGTGGTCTTCAGGCAGGTGGGAACTATTGCCAGGGTCCCTCAGCACCCTCCCTGGGATATTGTCTGGGCCAGTGGCTTTGTGAGGATTAATCTTCCTGAAGTTAAATGGGAAATGGACTGTACTTATACAGCGCCTTTCTATCTTTTGAAGACACTCAAAGCATTTTACATTACAATCTGTGTTCTCATGTACCCATTATTACAGCACTCTACTAGATCTCTACAAAGCTAATTGAACAAATCATTCTAAAGAAACTAATCAGTGTTCCTCCTGACTTCTGCTGAGGTCACACTGACGAACTCTCTTCAGATGCTGGGTGGTCTATTTGGGTCTTCAAAGCAGGCATAGTACCTGTTAAGAGCATCAGGCTGTGATGGGTACCTAGGGGCATTGTGCACCTAAAGGCATGAAGGTCACTTTGGGTCTGATTATGCCATTTTAGCCTATGCATCTTGATAAATCATTTCCTGGCTTTCAGTGATAACAAATGACTTGATCTAGTCACATTAAATAATATGCATCCATCCATTATCATTACCCACTTCTTCCTTTTAGGGTTGTGGGGACCTTCACTGGACTGGTCGCAAGTCATTAAATAATATTTCTCAACCAAATTCCAAAGTAAACAATTTATCAAATATCTAACAGCGTTGAATCAGGTCATCTGGATGGATTACAAAATAAAAACATAATTAAAATCTTGTTGAAACATTTCGTCTTTAATCCAAGACTTCATCAGTCTGAGGAGCTGCATAAACTGAGTCTTATAAATAACACTTTCTCATAGTGGATCAATCATCCAGAACCATCCATAATCCATCCAGAGGACCTGACTCCACTTTGTTAGATTTTTGTACTTGGATTTTTGAGTATGCATTATATGCATTATATTTTTCAAATACTAAAACTGTGTCTAAATTTGTGTGTGTATAAAAGTCAAAATGATTCCTGCTCAGTGAATTACTTAGTGAATTACTTTTCATTCAAGCAAGTTATTCTCCAAATTATTATCCTTTAGCATTTGTGTTGTTCAATTTGTTTATTACTGTTGATGTTTCTTATCTTGAGTAATGATTTTTTATATAAAACTTCAAAAGACAAATTTGGTCTCCTCATTTGAATGAATATTCATGTTATGGTATAGAATTCCCTGTAGTTAACGGATTCTACTCCATTGACTTAGTTCTG